AGGCAATGGCTAGTATAGAGCAGTAGGCCCCTTGGAAATGGGGTGCTGTAAAGTATAATAAATTGGAGGCTGTAAAATTTTTTTATGAAACTAGAATGTAAAGCAGAATATAAAGCAGCTCCATCTGAGGAGTCATGCCTGTTAATCTGTAGCATAAGCTCAAATTTGTAGTTGCAAACAATTTCTGAAACTTGACTAGGCTGGTTTCTGTGTTATTAGGGGCAGGAACACCTCTGTTAAAAGTGGTTTGCTTATTAATAGGGTTTAACCATAATTGTCCAGTTTTTGCTGGTTGTTCAAAATAGTTCCACCTCAGGTTGGTCAGCTGTTGTTGGCTTAATCTTAGTTGCTACCAGCATTCACCAGAAATTCTGCTTTAAGCTTGTCTTTCAGTGAATCACATGTCTGTACAGTAACAGATTTGTTTGTTAAATTAATTTAAAGACAGAAAGAGAGGAGCCAGTATTTAGGGTGAGTCACCTTCTGGCCCGTTAAGAACCATTTTACTCTCTCTCTAAACTGTCTTAATTTAATCGAAGGGAACATTTTCGCAGGAAAGTACAGCTCTAAGATGTGCATCAGTGTGATCACAGTTTTTTGTGTCACTGACTTGGCTTATTCTTGTTTGAACAAATGGCAGATCCCCTGAGAAATCCCATATGCCTTACTTGTTCCAGCATTTCTGCTAGTTTTGACATATTTATTGATTCCTTTGGCTACATGTGAGGAGGCAGTGCTATTTTGGAATTGTATCATGGGGCTGTAATAAAGGTGACAATGGATTTTTTTTTTAATAACTATACTTTCTAGCCTTTCTTTTAAGCTATCTTTTCTTGCAGTTGCTTGCCTTTTTGTCCTTCCTGCTCTTAAATCCCTCAGTTACACTAGGTTGGTGGAAATTGTTTAAATGTACAACCCAAATTCTCCAGTGAGGTTTGGCTAACCAACAAGCTATTCAAGTGGTTTTGTCTCCCGGGTATGTCTTCATTCGCTGCTTTTCCAGGTTGCTTGAATATCCTTGAACCCATAATTTACCCTAATCTCCTCTAAGGCTTTGAAATAATAAAATACTTAAATAAAACTCCTTGGATAAATGCCCTTTAAAATATAACTTTATCTGTGAACTATCACACTCTCAAGGGAGTAGATTTTGTTCCTCAGAAGATTAAGGGGATTTTCTGTCCACTCTATCACTGTGGTTTGTCCACTACGATCAGGCACTTAACTCGTGAAACGACTCAAAACAGAAAAGATGAGGAAAGTCTGGGCAAAAAACAGGATAGAGGCTAGACTGTTGCCATGTGTGATTTTTTTTTTTCTGGTGCCTGGGTTCAGTTCTCTGATCTACCATGTGATTTTCTGTGGGTCACGAAGGCTTCCTGTGCTTTTGAAAAATAATTCTCTGCTCAACAGGGATGTTGCTGAGGATAAATTAAGGGTGGCAAAGTGCCTAGCGGTTACAGAGGGATAGCCTTATACATACAGAAAGGCTGTGCTCAGATCCTTACTTCACAAAATAGGAAGAGGGAGATCGCTGGACTTGCCATCACCAAATCCACAGGGGAAGTCTGAGGCAGAGCAAGGGACTGGATCCAGTTTTTCTGGCAGATGCCCCACGTGGTCCATTTTTCTTTGAAAAGTCCTTTTCATAGCGCTAGCTAAGCCTAAACCCAGAGTCCTGCAGGTGCCTCCAAGGCAAGAAAGGGAGGCTTGGAGGACCTCACTGCTCCCACCCCATGCTACAACTCATTAGGATGTATGAGCAGGCCCTGGAGACTGGCATAATTTTAGGATTGGTCAGAGTCACAGAAGTCTCTCTTCACTGTTGCTGATTTTGTAGGTAAAGGGAGATTACTTCAGTTCTAATTCCATCCCACTCAGCTCAGCTAATTATTTATTTCTGCCAGCAAGAAGGATCTGCAAAATAGCACTCAAATGGGAGGAAAAGGAACATCTCCAATTTTGGAGCTCTATGGCTAAATTCCAGGAAGAAAGGTTTGGGGGTTGTGCATAGTTTCTGAGTAATTTGCGAGTAATTTGCTTCTGAAGCTAATTGCTGTTAAAAATGAAAAATTGCTCAAAAGTATCGGGAAAGGATGCTTTCCTTTTTATGTTATTGCACCACAAAAGTATAAAAATTCTGGTGAAAATCCAACCATATGACTATTATTTTAAAGTAGTACCTTTGAGATTGTCTCCGTTTTCAGGCATACTCCCCAGAAAGACATCTGTATTTCCTCATGTTAAGTGATAGGAAATGCAAATAGACCACAGTTTAAGTATGAAGATTATGGAGATTTATGATTCTCTTTATACCTTTTTTGTGTGCAATAAAATGCAGGGAAACTACATGTAGTGAATATTTTCTGATTTTTTTTTTAACCTGTACTGCTCTTTCCTGCTCAAATACTACTCTTTGTCTTTTCTTTCACTTGAAATTTTTGACCTATTAACCTGTTTCTAATCTAAAGTTCAAAATTTTTGGTACCTGAGGCTTATGATGATGAAGTAGCACCAATGAAATCAGTCCTTCAGCTGAATGACTTTTCTCGGATTCCTCCTAATGCTTAAGAGAATTATTATCTCCCGGTAGCTATATCCTTTGCTTAATTTTTTGCTTATTGAAAAACAGCAAAAGGATAGAGAAATTCATCTGAGAATTTACTGGGTTCAGCTCCTCCCTAGTCCCCACTTTTCAGGAGCTCAGAAGATAAAATTATATCTTTGAGTTTGTCTGTCTGTTTTTGGCTGGCACGCAGTGGCATCAGAACCAATTAGTTTTTTTGGCAACATGTTTGAGCATGAGCAGCTTCGGTTTTTCACAGTGCTAAGGATGGTGTCAAACCCATGAGCTTTGTCTGCAGTCTTGGGGGTGAAGGGATGAACAGTTAGACTGAGTTCAGTGTGGCTTCATGGCAGAACTAGAAAGGGAAACGTCTGTTGAAATTTGTAATGGGAACAACCTAAGTTACTTCTGCCAGCCTATACCTACTCACTCTCTTCTGGAGAAGGAGAGAACATGTAGCGCAATGGGCAGAACTGACAGGGTTTGAGAATCAGGGGCCATGAGGGCTCTCCAGTGTGAGAAGAGGATGTGAACTGTCCTGTGTCAGTCCAGGAAAAGAATAATACTGTAGCCCATGGGTGAGACTATGGTAGAAGGGCAGCCCCCACAGACTGTGGCCTGTGGGCAACATATGCCAGGACAGGGACTCCCCTAAGTGTTTGCAGTCCTGGGCAACTCATGCCAGGGCTTAGACCATGCTTAAAACAGCAGTCAAAAATGTTTGTTGGTTGGTAATAAATTAATTTAAATTATTTGGCTCAAGATTGTTTTATGTGCAGCATGCAACCTGATTCAGGTTTTGTCTTTTCTGCTCACCCATGATGGGGCACTTCAGAATGGCAGTTGAGAATCATTTAGGTTGGGAAACGCCTTTAAGATTATCAGTCCAATTGTTAAGCTGGCAATACCAGGTCCACTACTATACCATGTCCATAAGCACCATGTATACAGGTCTCTTAAATACCTCCAAGAATGGTGCTCCATCACTTCCTTGAGCAGCCTGTTCCAGTGCCGGACAACCCTTTCAGTGAATAAATTTTTCCTAATGTCCGATCTAAACCTTCTCTGTCACAACTTGAGGTCATTTCTTCTTGTCCTATCCCTTACTGCTTGGGGGAATAGACCAACCTCCACCTTCCTACAGCCTCCTTTCAGGTAGTTGTAGAGAGCATGATCTCCACTTTTCTCCAGGCTAAACAACTCCAGTTCCCTCAGCTGCTCCTCAAAAGACTTGAGCTCTAGACTCTTCACCAGCTCTTCTTTGGACACACTCCAGCACCTCAATGCCTTTCTTGTAGGGAGAGACCCAAAACTGGACACAGGATTTGAGGTACATCCTTACCAGTGCTGAGTGCAGGAGGATGATCACTTCCCTACTCTTGCTGGCCGCACTGTTTCTGATACAGGCCAGCATGCTGTTGGCCTTCTTGGCCACCTGGGCACACTGCTGGCTCGTATTCAGCTTCTGCCAGACAGCTTTCTGGCCACTCTTCCTCATGCCTGTAGTGTTGCATGGGCCCAACACAGGATTCCACAGGTTGTGGAGTCTCCTTCTCTGGAGACATTCAAAACCCGCCTGGGCACCTTTCTGTGTAACATCATCTAGGTGTTCCTGCTTTGGCAGGGGGAATGGACTAGATGATCTTTTGAGGTCCCTTCCAATCGCTAGCATACTGTGCTACTGTGATTCTATCATGCACGTTGCAAGAATGATTTCACTGGAAAATCTGCAAGCTTAGACCATTTCCTTCTTCAGAGTTGAGATATATTTGTATAGGAAAGCATATGCACAAATTATTTTTATATTTCTATAAAATATATCTGAATTTTCTGTTTTATTGAAGAGCCTTTAGATTTTGAATATGAGCATTGAAAGGATAAATGATCTGTTGGGCTTCACAATGGGCTTCATAAGAGTCTTCTACTTCACTCATTTTCTCTTCAGACCTCTTGCACTAAGGCCATTGGAGAGGTTATGAGCATAAATTTAGATGAGTATTGATGTTAAAAAATCCATTTGGATCTTAGAACAGATTTTTCAGCTTGTTATTGTAGACTAGTTAATGCATAGCTAATAAAATAGACAAGTTTTCATTGCTGTCTCATTTTTGTTGTGAAAAATGTTTCTACCATCATCATTCTTGCTCTAAAAACTCCAAGCCTCTGTTTTCAGCTTCATAGTGGTTGAAGGAGATTCAGAGATTTTCTAATTTTGATAGTGGGTTTAGTGTGTGTTACAAAAATATTGTAATCACTATCATTTCAAAGCAGCAGCTGAATAACCCCAGATACGATGAATCAGCTAGTATTTAAATAGGCTAAAAAAGCAATTCCAATTTTGGGTAATATTTGTATGTCTTCCCTGGGTATGAGGATCACAGAGCAGTTTTCACATGATAATAGCATTCCTAGAGCATTAATTTGTTTTTTCTAGTTTTTGAGAGTGGACCAAGACAAAGACAGAGAATGCAGCCTGGACTGTGCAGGTTCCCCTCAGAAATCGCTCTGTGCATCTGATGGAAGAACTTTTCTATCCCGGTGTGAATTTCAGAGAGCAAAATGCAAAGACCCTCAGCTGGAAATAGCCTACCGAGGCAACTGCAAAGGTAAGCAAATCTAAGTTTCTCTTGACCATAATGAAAAGTAATAAACTTTAAATAGTTTTTGAAAATGTCTGTGTATTGAAAACTAGGAGTGCTGCACTTGAAGAGTTTTCTACAAGCAAGTAGGTTGAAATCCATCCTGTTAATTGTGTTATTATAAGCTACATAAAGATAAATTAATCTTTATCCATCAGCATTAATATGACTGCTCCACACATTGACACTGTAATAAGTCACTATTAAGGAAATGCTAAGGTTAGGTCCTTGTTCTGAAGGACCTTATCTGTCGTTGTAGAGACGGACACGACACAACTGAATGGTATTAGAATGGCTCAAAATGGCTCCTTTATTACAGAAAGGGTGTGCCTTTTATACATAGTCGAAGGTACTAGAAGAAGGTAGCGTGGCCTTTGCTTATAAGTCAAACACTTGTTTTTCACATTCTAATTGGGTAACAATTAGCAGCTTCTGGCTGGGCTCATCCCCCCGGATGTTGAGGGAGAAAGTTCCGCAAACGTGTCCAAACTCAGTACACACAACTTCCCATCTTAAGGGTACACTGGGAATTTGTCAAGGTCAATGTCTTCAACCAATGCCAGGTTACCAGCAGTCCAGCTGCCGTTCCCCACACTTATCATTGGCAGGCTTAGAGTAACTCTTAAGATTGTTTTCTCCTGAGGTTTCTTGTCACCTGCAGTTTGACATTTTGAGTCAGAGATGATAAAATTCAGTCTTGTGTTTCCTTACTGCAGTAATTTAGGGAGTGGCGGGGGGGGGGAAGAAAAAAGAAAAAAAAGAGAAAAAAAAGAGAGAAAAAAAGTTTTGTAACACTTAGAGCCCTCACAAGGCATTCCCACCTACATCCTCCACTCTTCATTCTGGTCTCTGTTTAGAGAAACTGTGACATGCAACCCTAGAACTTTGGTTCCAATACTTACAAAGTGTTCATAGTTAAATGTTTTCACTTTTAGAGTAGCCTGGTGCTAAAGAATTCAATTCCTTACTGAAGTGTAGGGTGGTTCGCAACACAATTACCTTCTTTCTAAAATGTAGGAACAGCAGTGGTCATAAAGATTTACTTTCCCTTTCTCTCTGTCCAAAAATGGGGGGAAGAAAACCCCAGGGATTGCACCAATTCAGCCTCTAGGAGGCAATTTTGTGGATCATCTCTCTTCATTAGCTCCAGCAAGCCTCTGAAGCATCAAGACTGCTTCAAAGAGACATACTGTCTCATCTTCTGCCTAGCTGAAACACTATGCTCATTCTTCAACCCTTCATAATAAGCCTTTGTATCTGCTCATGGATCTATTTACTTTTGCGAACAAGAATAACATAATGAAGCTACCTGAGCCAAAGCTTTTGTTACACTCATAAATGACAGAGAGAATTACTATATACTTTGTGTTTGTTCATTTTATACATTAGACCATTATACGCTTTAATGGAAATTAGTTAGGAGTGGTTTTCTTCATTGTTTTTTTCCTCCTACCATATTTATAATGTCATCTGCAAGAAATTTCTTCCATAAAGATGCATTGAATTGCCCTGCTGAAGGTGGCCTCGGTGGCGCTGCAAATTTTTCCACAGTCAACAAATGCAATTTGCAGAAGTGCTCGTTTGCTCTTTATTTATTAATGGTGTGTCAGTACAATTGTAGACTTGGAATTAGATAACCTTAAGCAGCTTAAATATTGCTAATAGCAAGTACACATCATGCCCTCATCGATCAGATGTTTTTAATCTTTCAGTTCAATGAGTGCAAACACCACTCTAATATTCAAGTATTTTTTTCTGATTGGCAATAGACACGTTTGTTAATAGTACAATAGTATACTTGGTGAAAATCAAGAGACTAGTGCTCTTTTAAATTTTACATTTTCATAGTATGTCTTACATGTAGTCAAAGCACTCTTAGATTTTGAAGTGACCAGTGTTTTTATCTCCATCCATAGCTACAATCATCAGAAATATTTAAGCTGTAATAACAAGTTTTGGAGAAGAAAAAGAAGATTTGTTGGCCTAGCTGGAGTTTCAGTTTTAGTGTGGCTACACAACTTTTGATAGTCCCATCAAATGTTCTTCTGACAGAACTAAGGAAGTCCTCAGATTAAGAGCTCTTTTGAGCCAGTTGATTTTGAGTGGTGAAATATGTTGTTGCAAGTGATGCTTGACCAAGGAGCAGAGGGTTGTTTTAGTAGTGCTAACGAAAAAATGATGGTTCCATTTCAGGCAACTTTCAAGGTTTCAGAATTTACTTTCATTCCATGCTGGAATGAAAGAAAATCCTTCTGGAATTGTTCGTCTGTTGTCCTAAAAAATGTATTAAAACAAATATATTAAAACATTGGTTTTGAAGCAAGTTTTGAAGTTGCTAATGCAGGAAAAAGGGAAAGAAACATGCATGTTTCATGGGGAAGTTATGAAGGGAGAAACAAAATGATTTCTGGTATAAGACTCACAACTTTAAATCTGTGTCTGATATTTGCTCATTTCTGATCAGAAGAAGCAGTCTTAAGTTTGTGTCTGTTTCCTCCTGTCTTCTCAGGTAAAAATCCTTGCTTACCTCACAGAAATTTTGTCTGAAAATTAAATACTTAGAGGTAATGTTTTAATTAGTTGAAAATACCATGATCAGTTTTTTGTTTGGCTCAGTCTATTCAATAGAAATCTAAACACCTTGACAGTTTATGTCAACAACCCTGAGGAGTAATTTTGAGTGCATCGTTTCTGGTTTACATATTCAGAACTGTCATTTTTTTTTACATCCGTAAAAGGGTTTGAATGACCACCACTAGACTGATGGCTACTTTCTCTGTTCTCTGTGTCTTTTTTTTCCTGAGAAACCCACATTTAGATTGACTGTCATTTCTCCTCCTCACCTATTCTCAACATTCATCTCAACTGTTTGATTTTGATCACTTAAATACTAAAATTATGAAAGGATAGTTTGCTTTGAATGTGCTTGCTTTCCATTCTTAACTCAAGTTTAACTCACAGCTACAGTGCTCAGGTAACTCTTTAGCATTGCAAAGGAAACCATTTTTAGATCCTGGATCTTAAAAACTAAATTACAGGAAACAGGTAGAATTGACACAATTTTCTTTTCTGGCACTCTTGTCCTTCTAGTTTCTGATCTCCAGCTGTGATCAAAACAACTTAAACAAACCTGAAAATGAATTAACCCTGAACATTCCCCTCAGTTCTGAAAAAAACAACTCACCTTTGAAAAAATAAGTGTCAAAACACACTGTTCTGATAGTGGGTTTTTCTGAAGACATAATAAAATTTTATAATGCTTATCTTGTGGGGTTTTTTTTTGTACCACTTCCAGGCAGTGATGGAATCCATTGCTAAGCTAGGAAATGCTGTAAGAAGTTACAGTGTTGTAAAATTTCCATCCTGCTATCACAGTTTTAAAGATTGCAAATAACCTGCATATGCTTTAGATAAACATCCACATTTCTGGATACTTTTCTAAACAAAACCTAAACTCTGATATTCTGGAGATTTGCCACTTGCTTGACACAGATTTTTACTGTGCAACAAGATTATAAATGTGATAAATAAATGTATATTGACAGCTGAGAAATATTACTTGTGCTAAGGGGACTGTTAAAGTATCACCTGTGATGGGGATTCACTGCACTCACCTAGAAATACCTCTAATAAATTAATTTTAGATTTACTGTGAGTAAATCTAATAAATTAAACAGTGCCAGTGCATGATGTGACTGCCTACACATGTAAGCTGGTAGAGAGCACAGGCCAGCTAGCACTTTCCTAAAGACTGGATCTACATGGCTGGGGGTTTAGATGGGCCAGGCACAGTTGCCAACAGGCAGCACATGCAGAGGTACTTTCTTTTAGGTGTTTAAGAGCTGTTCGACCTGGGAACTGAACCTCACTGCTTTTGCAGCACTGTCCTGATACATGCCAGGGTAGATCTATTCCTATGACTGATACAAAGTCAAGCACCAGTCCTTTAGTGCTCAGCCTTGTTCTTTCTGCTGTAGCTCATGAGAATGGGACTGGAGAGCTCTGGATGTCACACAGGAAGGCTCTGTAACTTACAGAGTCTTTGAGACTCTTTGTTAGTGCATGCAAAAGCACGGGTTGAAGTTTTTTGGTCTTGAAAGTAGGACCAACTATGCAGAAGTTCCCTGGCTATCAAAAAAAAAAAAGAAAAAAAAAAGAGAGAAAAGCCTTATTCTAAAAAAAGGAAGAAAACCACAGCCTTTTATATCCCTGCATGATGCAGTTGCCCAGTATGAGTAGGAAGTGTTACCTGGCACTGCAGTCTCCTGTAGGGCCAGTTTTACATTTAATGGGGGTTTTACATAGTTTGAAGCATGGTGTAGGTTACTCTTGTATGCGCAAGTCTTCAGCTAAAAGCATCTTCACCAGCAAAAATGGGAGAGGCATTGCTCTGTGAGGATCTCTAACAAATACAGGGCTGAAACAAAGTGGGGTTTATGTGGAACATCTTGTGCATCCCATATGAAGAGGTCTGGTTTCCGTGTGGTTTTTTTTTTTCTTATTTTTCTTGATTAACCATTCAGAGTTACTCTGTAAAATTTAGTCTTACCACGGTAGAATAGCATTGTACAAAGAATATTCAAATTTTCTGTTGCTGTGAAAATTTTGCATTATAAATGCAAAAGAAGGAGTGTATGCTTTAACTCATTTCTGCAGACTCCTATCAATTTCACCTACACTAAAATTGATCAGGTTTGCTACCCTTTTTATTCTCCAATACTGGACAAGTATTTTCCCCATGGACTTTGAAAATGTGTATTTTTCTTGAAGCACTTTTCAAATAATTTTAGACTTTTCAAGTAGTTTTCAGTAAATAACATATATTAACACTGAAACCTGAAACTATGATGTTTAGTGGAGGCGAGTGGGACTGAGAATTTTTTTTCAATGAAACTATGCCCTTTTTTTGACCTGACAAGCTTTCGTCCAGGTTCGTAGAAGATTTTCTGTAGGTTTAGTAGAGTATT